CCCAAATCTGAAAGAAAAAATTGAGCGGTGTATCCATAACTGCATCCCATGCATCCTCAATAATCGAAAGCGTGGCAAACAAGACGGACTTCTGCACCCCATTGACAAAGACGACGCACCCTTGCACACGTACCATATCGACCACTTAGGTCCCCTTGCCACCACATCAAAGAAATACAAACATATTTTGGCAGTTATAGACTCGTTTACTAAATTCGTGTGGCTTTATCCGACAAAGTCTACAGACGCAGATGAAGTTATCAGTCGGCTGGAATCTCAAAGATCAGTCTTCGGAAATCCTTCACGGATTATCTCTGATCGAGGCCCTGCATTCAAATCCACTGCATTTGCAAACTATTGTGACACACAGAGAATAAAGCACGTTCTTATTACAGCTGGCCTCCCACGATCGAACGGTCAAGTTGAGCGTTTGAACTCCATTATTATTGCTGTCCTTTCTAAACTCTCCATAACCAACCCTGAGCAATGGTACCGCCATGTTCCCGCCGTGCAACAAATTATTAATTCAACTTTTCAACGTAGCATCAATTCCTACTCCCTTTGAACTTCTCTTTGGGACTAAAATGAAATCGCAAAACGACATAAACATCGCTGCTCTAATCGACGAGGAGATCAAATCTGCATTCATTCAGCAACGTGACGATCTCCGTAAGGACGCAAAACAGCAAATCTCTAAAGTGCAAGACGAAAATCGCCGTACTTATAATTTGCGACGAAAACAGGCACAAAAATTTCAACTTCATGACCTCGTGGCTATCAAACGAACTCAGTTTGGCCCTGGTCTAAAACTCAAACAGAAATTTCTCGGACCTTATAAAGTCACCAGGCTCAAACAAAATGACACATATGATGTGGAAAAGTGTGCATTTTTCGACGGACCATCCAAAACATCTACTTGTGCTGAATACATGAAACCCTGGTCCAACAATATTGAACGTATCACTTGATTTTTATTAAACTGTCAGCATTATAGGTCCTCCTGTGTTTGGACAGATGACACCTGAGAACTTTCTAATAATTTTTTTTCCTCATATCAACTTTTTAATTCATTTTGTCATACTAATGTTCTTTTTATTTTTAGTTAACTGCTGTGGTGTGTTTAATCTTTTTTTTTTTTTTTTTTTGCTCCATTTGTGTAAGTATCCTCAGCTTTGTATCTACAGATTATTTTTTTCATACCTATGTTACTATATTATAATAATTTTTTTTAATATGATGATATACTATGTTGCTTCAGGCGAGGTCGCCTGTCCGGTCATGATGGCCGAATGTGGGAAATGTTATGTCATGATATTCCCTAATCCCCTACTGTGTGTGACGTATGCATTGCGTCAGCATGTGTTTCCCGCATTCGGGAGAAGACGAGGGTTAGCTGGCGAGCGGAGCAGACGTCGCTCGATCGCTCGTATACCATTTTCATTAATTGTAATCCGAATGTAATCTATATTTGTAAATAGTAATAAATGTGTGTTATCAACTATGGTCGTTGCCTTTCCCCACACTTTATTTGCTTTTTTTTTTTTTTAGGACGGATATGGAGGAAGAGCTGACAAAATATTTTGGAAAAAAGATTCAGATATTATTTACTTTTTATTTAAGCTTACGATTTTAGCTAATAAAAAAAAAATCAATGATTAAAATAATTTTTCTATGCTTTAAGTGTTTAATTTAAAATTTAGTCTGTATGCAGACTTTTGTGACTAACTGTATAAAAGTTACAATTGATGAGGCTTGGATATACTTATCCAAGCCTCATCAATTGTAATTATATATATACTAAGGATATAAGAATAAATTGAATTTAATTAAATAATTCTTTGCACCATTGCTGCAAGGAATGAAATTTAAATTTAAACAAATTTTAATCTAAATTTTAACAAACACGTATAAAAGTAAAAAAGCAAAATTAAGCCAAAATTAAACTTAAAGCCAAAATAATTTTTAAAAAAATGTGAAAACATATAAAAATTTAATTCTCAAACTAATCTACAATATCATTTAAATTCAGAAGTATAAGCAAATCAAATGCAAAAACAATCCATAAAAATAAATTTTTTAAAAAATTTAATTTTTTTAAAAAAAGTTTAATTTAATACTTGACTTTACTTGCTTGTTTATCAAAAGAATTCTTTAATTTTTTTCTTTTTAGAACTTTAATTCTTAAATGCTAATTTCTAAGGGTACCACTTTATTGGTATTTCTTTTTGGACATTCTTCACTTTTTACTTTTGGTTTTGACTTTTACCCTTGCCTACATGAATGATGAAACACGAATTGAATGATTGGAGAGTTAGGTTTGGAGGCAACTTCCCCTTGATAAGTCTGTCTCCTGCCTGCTCAACAGTCATTCACTTATGTATTTAAAAAAAAAATTGTTTGAATTAATTTTAATTTGCTAAATTATTGAATTTATTTTCATGGATTGTTTTTGCACTTGATTTGCTTATACTTCTGAATTTAAATGATATTGTAGATTAGTTCGAGAATTAAATTTTTATATGTTTGCACATTTTTTTAAAATTATTTTGGCTTTAAATTTAATTTTGGCTTTAATTTTGATTTTTTACTTTTATACGTGTTTGTTAAAATTTAAATTTAAATTTGTTTAAATTTATACTAAGGATATACTTATACTACAATAGAAAAAGATTGATTTACTACCAAAAATGAGGAGAAAAAAATTTAATATGTTGATTCAGAGAAAACAAGGAAAGTTTTATGGTTATTATTGGATTCTCTTATAACTTTTCCGCTATAAGAGGAAAAGTGGTTAAAATAAGGAAAGTAGGAGAAAATGTCAAAATTAATTCAGATAACTATCAAACATATGTACTAACACCTATTTTTAATGAAGAAATTCCATCTCATTTAGCCAAACAATCTTCACTGTGTCAAGTTCCATAAGGATAAGGCTCCAATCCATACCTTTAAATCCTCTGCTCTATTTTTTGAAAAAATGAGAAATGAAACTGGAACTGAAGCTAGTCCCTTGAAATGCATCCCGCCCAAGTAACCTGATGGGTCTCTCATGAATTACTGTGCATTGGACTTTTAAAACAAGCTCTTTATAAGTGGCATCCCAAAACATTGAATGGACTCTGGAAGATTGTGAAGGAGGTATGGAATAAAATCAACCTTGATATTTTAAGAAAAGGACTTTTGGTTTGGTTTGGTTTATTTAATTATGGCAAAGACACTAGGGCTATCTGCCTAAGGGGAGGGATGCCTTTGTGAAGGACTTTTTAAGGGAAACTGGCTCGTATACACGTTACACATGGGAAAAAACCACAAAAACGACTTTTATCTTGGAAATCAAGATGTAATATAATAGTTCAACAAATGGGCTATCAGAATGAACACATTAGAAAATAAAATTCTAAGGTTTGTTTACATATAAATCTTTGCTAAATCATTACAAAAATGTGTGAACACTGTCTGTACAAGATGATTTTCAGCCTCAGAGACATCTATAGAATAAAAAATCATAGTACTCACAGTTAATGCTCTGCTCAGTTCATTTCAAATTAGAGCACATTTTCATTTTAAGAGTGAACTATGATATATATTGCTATACTAATTATACATTCATTTCTGATTTCCATGTATTTAACTTTCTATGAGTATTTCTGAAAGGGAATAAAAAAAGGTTTGTTAATATATTAAAACTTATAACTAAGTAACTTATAAGTATTATGCATCCAACAGTGATTTTTTTTTTTTTTTTTGGTGGAAGTGCCCCCACCTTTTGATTCACGTAGAATTATTTGTGGAAGAACTACCAAACTGCTGTCAAAGTAACATGCTCTGGTTGTATATAAAACACACTTCCTTTGGCTTCCAAAGCTCGACAGTACTGCATCAGTGTAGCGCTGGGATGACTTCTCCTTTTATTTTTATCTCAATGGTTTGCTAGGGAATCTCAGACCGAGCTACCAGTGTTCAGCAATTTTACTCCTTTGCCACTAGTGGGTTCTTACCCCCTCTGACGAATCTAAGTACAGTTTATAGAACCATGATGACCAGAAATTTATTTGTCAATACAAATGGAAAATCTTCTGAAGGGTTGTAATGAAGAGCATCATAGTGGCCCTACCCTCAACATTATAGTGTGAAATGCTTTCATGTTTTTTGTTTCTTGTTATTTGAATATGGCAAAGCCCTATCCTCACTACTATAGTGTGAAATGCTTTCACATTTTGTTTCTTGTTTGAATATGGTAAAGCACTCAAGGGCTGTCTACCTAAGGGAAGGGATGCCTTTGTGAAGGACTTTCTTGGACTCATGACTTGTATTCATATTACACATCAGGAAAACCTCAAAAACCATGCAGTTAGTATCCGAGTTCAAATCCAGGATGAACTACCAGTATTCAGCAATCTTTGACCACTTAGCAACTGCTAGAGCACTTTCATATTTTAAGCACATTCTTCTTTTCTAGAGCACTGGCACTATAAATAGTCATTATCACATTTCTTGAGATGTTACAACTAGAAGTCTTACAACTGCTACAGAACTAATTAAGGTCTACAATCCAATAAGATAATGCTATTGCTAATGTTGAATGCACATTCAGCATTTCTTCGATGGCTTGCATAGTTGCCTAATTTATTTCCCACATAATATGTATGGAATATGCCTGCTAGTAGATTAGTTCATATATCATTACATGCAACCACAACTGAAGTTGCAGATATATATTCAATCTACATGGAATGACATTCCACAATTAGCCGTCCAAAATCTGTTAACAGTCACTGGCATACTATGTTACATCTTTATAAGTACTAAGAGGGGGCAAATAAAATGTGAAATTTAGCAATGAAAAGAACTTTTGTAAGGGCATTTACAAAAGTTATTTTAAATGTTCTTTTTTGGCCTGAGTTTTTTTGCATTTTAATCATTCATACGTATTTTCTCCACATGTAACTTAAACCTATATATATAATGATAAATACTGAGAAATATAGTAAAGAACTTACAGGAATAACACCTGGTATGCAAGTCAGTGTTGTAAATTCATAAGAAGCAGATTCACTGTGAGTATCTGTCAAGATGTTCAAAAGTGTAGACTGAAAAAAAAAAAAAAAGATAAAAATGAGCTTTACAAATACTCAACTGAGAACATTTGATTAATTTAAAACTATATATATATATCAAAAGAGTAGACTGAAAAAAAATATTTTAATTAGCTTTACGTATACTCACTTGAGAACATTTGATTAATTTAAAACTGTATATTTAATATATGTCAGGATTGGATTTATTATCAAGTTTTATCGAAAGTTTTCCACCACTGAAAATATCATCTTCACAAACAGTTCGCATTGGCATATTTAATCATACTTTGCCAAACGATTTTTTAGCATTTGAAAGAAAGAATGTCCTTTAGAACACTGTGTTGTGAAAGTAGTAAAAATATATCATTATCATTAAGTACAAGGTTTCTGAAATGAACTATCATGCTACCAGATTAGAACCATCATTTGCTTCCAGTTCTGTTGCAAAACGTCAGCTACAGAATGTCACCAAATCATGTGTACAGCTTTAGGTACTAATGTTGTATCATATGACACTATGGTTTAGTACCAAAAGTTCAAAAACAAGGACTATGACATGCAAGAAGCACAGTGCTCTGGCCGGCCTACTGATGCTGATGAAGCCCACCTGAGAGAACTTCTAAGATACAGCAAGCTACTTAAAGAAAGTACTCGGGAACTATGCTCTGAACCTTTGATTAGCTACACTGTTTTAGCCAACTCTGCTGTCACAGATGATGTCACTTCATACAATATTCTTGCAGAGAAATACTAATGAACTCTGAGAGCTAAAGTCAAATACTGCAAGTTTGAAGCCCACAACTTTTGCATGAACATTTTTTAATACAGAAATATTCTGCAAGAGCATTCTAAAGTAAAAACTATTGACAATTTCAAAACAGTCAGCTAGTTTTGTTCCATAGGCTTTCAAAATATTTTTGTTTAATGTTAAGCTAGCATTTATTTAATATTTTTCAATTTTTAGGTTATATGACTTAGCTGTTAGCTTTTTCAAGCTGTTTGAGGATTTCCAAAAAAAAAGTGTCCAATATATTCACCAAAAAATTTTTCTTATAAGCAGACCCACACAGTTTAAACCAACAAACTTCAATCTTCAACAATATACTGGACACCAAAGGAAATGAAAAACTAATACATCTACAGTTACATATCCAAATGAAAGCTATAGTGAATATTCTGTCGTCTTTCTATTTATAATAAAAAAATAACAATTAATACAGGAACTTGAGCTAAAATTTGTTATTACCTTACCAACAGACGGAAAACCAATCAATGCTACACGAGCATCTCCAGATTTCATAACATCAAAACCTTCGCCCTGAAAATAATATATTCTCATTAAAAACTTCAAGCTATTTACATACACACATATCCACATAAATATAGACAAACATACAGAGAGTATTATTAATAATCAAACCATGAAACTTCTGAGCTACAACTTTTTCTAGGTTTTTGACATAGTTTATTTAATTCATTAAAAAATTTGTCGCGCAAAGTTTCAGTTGTCTGTTTCGGCAAAACGCGTGATACAGTTAGCTTGGTTAGAAATTCATCTTAAAAAATTTCCCTTGACAAGCCAAAATGAACTTTGAATTGGGCTAATTAACCATTTACCGCTCCTTAATTTTCATTTTTTATTTTTACCTCGATCAATTTATTTATTTTATTTTACTGTTTATTTTTATATTTTACCTTGATCAATTGTTTAGTATTTTACTGTGTTTTAAAATCTACTTTGTTCGTTTAGCATATAGCTTACTATTTTTATTTTACATTGTTCAATTGATTTGTTTTTTTTACTGTGTTAAAAATTACTTAGTTTAGCATATAGCTTACTTTTTATTAATTTTACTTGTAAATATTCAAATATTGTGTTTTTCTCGTCTTTCACACATTTCATAGCAAGTAAATATGCTTATGTTGAAGTTTTCACGGAGCCACAGTTTTTGGTAACTTTTTGGCATACGTACTAAAATTTATCTTCCAATTTCCTTAACTTTGCAGCACAATGCGCAAAAAATTTTGACCAAAATTGGTCTTTTTTCATTTGTTTTTACAACTTAACTTTTAATTATATAAATATATATATATATAATTTACAAAAAAAAAACCTCAAAATTAGCTGATAGGCACACTGTTCACAAGAGGGAAGAAAAATTGGCAGGTATAATCATAAAGAAAGAAAAAGATTTCAATAACTCTTCACATTAAAGATTTCAATAAAGATTTAAAGATAAGATTCCAATAACTCTTCACATTAAAAATGTTTTTCAGGGACATTTCAATGCAATGGTATATTTATACTTCAAAATTTTAATTTGAAAAGTTAAAGATGATTTCTATTTAAGAAAGAAAGAGAGAATACAAAACTGTTTTCTCCAAGATATATAAAATTTCTTGGATCATGCTAAACAACAATCTTTACCAACATGAAAACTGAATTGGTAAAACAAAAAGGAAAAATACAGGAAATAATTAAATAAAATACAGGAAATAATTTCATAAGAAATTTAAATTTCAGACTGTTAATGAAATTTGATAGCAAAGGTCACGATTTGTAAAATATGTAAAAGTGCCAATTTTTGCTGAAATCTTCCAGAAAAGGCAATAGAAATACCAAAGGAACCTAATGTAGAAAGTATTAATGCAAGTAATGACTGGACAGAATTAACCCTCTGAGAGACATGGCTTTTGGGGTCTGTTCATGAAGAGATGTATAACAGCATTTATAAACTAAATTTACTTAATTACTTATTTCTGTGTCTGTCACTTCTATTCATTAAAATGATATTTCAATCTTTAAAGAAAATAAAATATTTTAAATTTTAAGTTAATATATACCAAGTGATGAACTATCTTATGATCGAATAATGGCAGACCATACCACTTGGGGTTAAAACAAAAAAAAAGGTACTAATGAGAAACAGTAACTGATAATGCTGATTGGTACCAATATGAAAGAAATGGAAAGTACTTCTCTATTATTAGGACTAGATCTATAAATGTATGTAGGTACTAGTGATCTCAAAAAATAAATGTAAGATGTTTCCAAAAAATGTAAAATCTGAGGAACAAGAAAAAGAAAAGGGAAATAAAGATTACAATTCAGGTTTACTATCAGACTCAATAGTAACTGCAAACGAAAAGTGGATACATCATTCTTGACCTAAATGCTTGCACAGATATTAACAGTATCATAGTATATTATCAAATAACCACAAAAGACTTAACTATGGAATTTTTACTGGAAAAGTGTAAAAGTTTGAGCAAATGAAAGTGATGATAATCAAGTATTTTCATTGCCTTATAACAGACAAGTGCAACAAGAAGGCATTTAACATTTTCTTACATTAATTTCAGATACTGCAGATGATGAAATTGGAGCTATATTAAAAAAAAAAAAAAAAAAAAAAAAAAAAAAAAAAAAAAAAAAAAAAAAAAACAAAAAAAAAAAAAAAAAAAAAAAAAAAAAAAAAAAAAAAAAAAAAAAAAAAAAAAAAAAAAAAAAAAAAAAAAAAAATAAAGTGGAGGCATTTAACATTTTCTATTACAGATACAGATGATGAAATTGGAGCTATATTAAAAAAAAAAAAAAAAAATCAACATACACTGACAAGATTTTCAGTGATGATATAGTATGCAAACTACTACTTTTAGTTAAGTTATTTTGTAGAAGGCATTTCTAAAACAATATTTTTAAATATGAAAATAAATACAAATGATTAGGAACACGCAAATAAAAATGATTTCATTTATTAATTCAACAACTTATTAAATTTTAATTCCATTACATTTAAATTACTTACAACTTTACAAAACAAAAGTAGCTCTAAAGAGGGCTTATTTTTATAAGTCACTCAACCGTATGCATCATGAATGCCATGCAACATGGCCAAAAAATTGTCATCAGTTTTATTAACAGATTTCCACCATGCTTTGGGAGATAAAATGGAAGCATTTTCAGTGTAGCATTCACATTTGTATAGAATCTTTAGCTTCAAGAATGTTTTTGGGCAGAGTCTTGCACTACTTTACCTTGAATTCAACAGAATGAACTTTGGACAGTATTTGTTCAAAATAGAGTAAAAGAAATTCAGAAGCTTTCTTCTATTGACAGAGATATGTACCAGGCTCAGAGAATCCAGCATCAAAGAGATATTCTATTAAAAAGCCATATAACTCCTGTTGGTGGTAAGGATCTTCATGGCTTAAGAAAGAATAAATGAAATGGTCAAGATGTGAGCAAATATTTAAAGAAGTTCGTCAGGAAAGAAGAAAGGTTAGGAAAGGAAAGAAGAATGATTCTACTAGTAGATGAAATATATGAAAAGACTTGGTTTTTGTCTTACTTCTTGAGTTACAGAAAAATTGTAGGAATGATTGGATGGACAAGGAAATTTCTATTTAATTCATGAAAACCTAAGCAAATTCAGTTGAATTGATTGTAGAAGAATTGATTGAATTGAATTGATTGTAGAATTTGAAGAGAATTGATTGTAGAAGAAATTAATGAAGCTGATGAAAATAATAAGAATTGGGCAAATGAAATCACTAGAAAATATTTAAGAGGTTTAAAATCTATTTCATATTTTAATGACCATTTAGGCATGTTTTGAGTTAAGACCAAATTGATACAAAGAGAAGATTTTAATAATTGTAAAACTCTTATGTTACTAACAAACACACACAAACTAGTAGAACTTTTAATTCAAAACTATCATTCAGTGTTGTTGCACGGTGGCTTTAATAACTTATTAATGGAGTTATCAGAAAAATTCTGGATAATCAGTAGAAAGAAGACTATACTTAAAAACATATTAACTTGCATGCAATGTAAAAGGCATAATGCTGCAGCTATTATCAGAGAATAGAGTGCAAGATACCACTGTATTCAAAGTTGTGGATATGGATTTTACAGGATCTCCTGCTCGTAAAAGGGTGGATCGAAGAGTTGGATTGCACAACATATTTGTGCACTATACAGAGCACAGATTTATAACTTGTTCAGTCTTTATCTGCAAAAGCCTTTCTATTAAGTTTTATAACTTGCCATGGAGGGCCAAAAATCATCTGTGGTAAAAATGGGATGAATTTTATTGGACAACCAACTTCTGACTCCAAAAGCAGTGGAAGCAGAAACAAGTTTAACGAGTATATCTTGGAAGCTTATCCTTCTGGCAGCAGCATGGTGAATGGTGTTAGGGAGCACCACATACCAATAATGAAAAAGAAACTTAAGATTAAGTAATGCCTCATTTTCTTATACCACTGTGAGACAATCATAGATGCCAAACTGCTAACATATAATTCAGAAAATACTGATTTGTTTCCCTCAAAACCAGCTATATTTCTAAAGGAAATATAGATGGTAGGATTTCCCAACATTCATTATCTTGATAAAATATACCTCTCAAGAAAGTTTAGATATTAACAAAGACTGAGTGAATACTTCAAGAATATTTAAAATCAAATCTCAGTCTATTACTTCTAAAAAGATCGTGTGAGAATTGTCAAATCTAAATACTGGAGATATTGTCTTGATTGAAAATAAAAGGATGGCCTTTTACCCAATGAGGTGCACCATATTTCTCTATCTCAGAAAGATTGGTATTATCAGGCAAGTGAAATTAAAGACATCTGGAGAGTTACTTCAGATGGTCTAACATATACATCCTCTATACAGATACAACAGTCAGATGATAGCATGATAAATGCCACAAAATCCAACAAATCGAATACAATAAAAGTATGCCAAAAAAGTCTTGAAGAGAAAAAGAAAGTGATTACTAGAAAAGGCAGAACTGTAAATTTTAATACAGATTATTATAACAGTATATCTAATATTTTGATAAAATATGTCTTTTATCAAAAGATGGCAGAATGTTGGCAAAAGTGAGAGTTTTTTAGTTGAGCTTAATTTTTCACAGTCTTGAGTGACATGTTGCTATGAGACTTCATATATTCTAAATAATTATTGCTAAATAAAGTTTATGAAGAGACTTCAAACTGTTATGTTCCTTGTCATACATAACAGGACCAATTAGGATAAAATTATCAAAAGAAATAGTTAGAGCAATTAATTTTAGTAGCACCATCTAAAAAATAAATAAATATCTAAAAGAAATAAATTGCATACTAGATATATAAAATGATCATACCTAATATTCTTTGCTCAGTTATTTAAGATAATAAAATTGGAATTCTTTTGCTTTATATAAAATTTAAAGATATATTCATTGTGGATCTACTAATACTAAGCAGTACATTCAAAACATCCAACACAATTCTGAATCAAAACATTTATTACAAGCCTGAAAATAAATTTGATAATTAAAATTAATAATAATTAGAAATATTGCATGCTTAGTTTTATCTTTTTGAATATTTTTATAAATGTTACAATATTCTCTGATTAGTGATCTAAGAAAACAATTCATAACTCCTTTCCTTTATACAAAATTTAAAGACACTATACAAAAAAAAAAAAAAAAAAAAAAAAAAGAATGATCAAAATAAGAGATAGATCACTTAAAAATCACCAGCTGACAAGCAAATAATGCATAACCAAATTCCTTAGTTTGTAAGGTAAAAAGAAACATATTTATACAATACAAACTAATTGTTTTACCTTTTCCTTTTTCCCCGTAGGTTCTAACAGTTGAGATCTATATTTTGCAAGCTTTGCTTTCAGGACACCCAAATGGTATTCAGTAGCTGAAATTAAAAGAGTAATTTTAAAATAGAATAAAAGAAAGATGTGTATCGAAAAACTTTTAATTTAATATGAATTGTATTTCTCTTGTTAAAGGAACAGATAACTATTGTGTAAAATCTAAATAATCACTGAATAAAATATCTAATATGATGACAATATGGAGTATGTCAATATGAAAAAACAACATGAAATAATATGAATAATATAAAAAATAATATGAAAAACTTCATTAGCATTCACATGAAGTTTTAAAAAGCATTTTATTTTACAGTAATAATAAAGACAGTAATAATAATAAAGTAATAGTTACAATAATAATAACGACATTTTAAAAATAAATACATAACCTGTTACTATTTCTTGTTCTGTATTTAAATTGCCAAACTACTAGAACATAGAAACAAACAAATTATCATCCCATCTTACCTTCTAATTACAGTATGCAAAAACTCAAGTCAAGGTTTAACCCTAGAATGTTACCCTTCGAAAACTTACGGGAATGGTAAAAATTAGTCTTCGAGACAAAGTGTGCATATGCATGACTAAAACCTATTTTTAAAACTATTTAAAATAAAAGCATACTACCTGCAGTGGCGTAAATAAAGGTATGCAAGGAATGCCGTCGCATAGGGGCCCGAAGGCTTAGGGGGCCCTTAAATGTCCTGCTGAACTACATTTACATGTTTAAACTTAAAAGACGGATTCCATTACATAAATATAGAAGCTTCAATTCATTTTCCCTTGATGAGTTCGGAATTAGAATTTCAAGAAAAAGAAGATTAATTATTATTTTTATATTTTTTATCTTGTATTTTTTTCCCTTTTGCTTTTCATTTTTAATATAGTTGAGGAATATCCTTGATTTGACTCCAATTTACTTTTAAATTAAGAATCTTTAAGTATATTTAGATAATAGAATTCGTTTTCTTCTAAGTTTTTAAGGGCCCCCTACCTATATGGTGCGGTGACACAATTCTCTGTATGACACAGATAGGAGGCCTTTGGAAGCACCTGAAACAGCTAAATTCAAGTGTTTGCAAAAGTTAAAAATTCCAGCATTCGACTATGAAATAAGAACTTCATGCTCTACCCCACTTTAGGAATAGCAGTGAGCGGAAAATAGGAAAAGTTCCTTTGTATTCCTTATTCTCAAACCTGAAAATCATTAAAGGCGACCCCCTAAAGGAAAGGTTTCTCCTTTTGCAATCCCAAATCAAAATGGCATGGAAGTGGAAATTAATTGTAACTATTTATTATAAAGTAATTATTTTATATATTAATTTGTTTCTGTATAATTTGCATTATGATTGAATAATCAGTAGACATATTTTCTAAGCATAAATCAAAGAAGTAACTAGGCAGGATTCTGATACTTTAAAATGAACTTTGCAAGTTAAGAGAAATCGTGGTATATTATTTGCAGTTCGTACTTTTCATAATATGTCATTCCGTAGTGTTTGATTTTGTTCCTATATTGAATCTCTTACTAGCTTTTCCATTAAACGCAAGTCCAAAAAATCAGTTCTAATATTCACCTTAAAATTGAATTTAATAATGTGAATGATTCTTAGAATTTAATATAACATGTATTGCATTGGTTCGCTATAAACGGCGTATCACTTTTCAAATTGTTGCCGCCAAATAATTTCACCCTGTATTATTTTTAAAGAAATAAAGTAAGGAAGAAATCTGCATGTTGGAATGTATAGTTCTCACAATGTAAAAAACGATGGTAGTACTTGCAACCTGTGCAGTCGCACCAAGAGGCAAGGTAAGGGACAGAAACATTTGGATTTAGAAGCACGATTGACATTATAAAATGGCAAAGTTAATGGCGGATTCCGTTTTCTTTTCTCTGTTTTTTATACTAATAAGCTGGAAGGGGGGAATTATTCGTAAGTATTAATTGCTAGCTCCAGAATACATGCTTTCTTTCTTAAGGACACAAAATCATTGATGTCGTAAGTTGAGCAGTTGTGGCACGAAAGGACTTTGCCCCATCCCCATATCAAATGCCGTTCTAGTCTAGGAAACACAAAGAATTTATGACACCACATTTGGAAAGGAGAGATTTCCCGTTCGGCTCAGGGATCTTTGAATGAATTCAAGGTCCAAAAAAGATGGGGTAAGTTTTACGACCAGAGTCAGAGCTAGGGTCTTCAGCGCCCAGGGACAACTGAAGATTTCACGTGCCCTACTGGTTGCCAAGGGTGGAAAACATTTAATTCTAAAATGTCATAACATCAGTTTGGTGCCCCTTGGATTCTGCACCCGGGGACAGATGTCCCCCTTGACCCCCTCTAGCTACGCCCCTGTTTACGACAGGCTACGAACACACAGATGCTCAAACATTTAAGCGACCAAATATTTCAGTTAATTTCCGGCTTAAATTTAATGTTTTTTTTTTTTTTTTTTTTTTTTTTAATTTATCGAAATTACATTACCATCTTCTTCACTCATGGGGGTAGGAAAATGGAATGGATAAATATTTTTACTTGAAATAATGAGTGAATAAATATTTCAGTTCTATTTATCCAATTTTTCATATCAAAATTTCTCAAAATACTCTCACGTTGCAGGTAAAATGCAGGTTAGGAATTTCTTTAAAATCCCTAATCGAGAATTAAATCTGAAGGCACGGAACCCGTAAACTATATCTTACTTACTAAGCATATTTTAATATTTGAGGATTTACTTGATTTGCTTTAGGAAAGAGAAGAGCTGTAGTTTTTCTTAACCTGTAAATTACCCATCTACCAAAAATTCACACTTATCTGTAAAAGATAATTCTGAAGACATTAAATTTGTTTTGAAATTCAATTTGTTTTGAAATATATTAATCTCTCTTTGTTTGAAAAAAATATAATAAATTACAATTTATTTTAACAACATGAAACATTTAAGCGTACAATTGAGTAATGCGCAATAATTTGTACGTTGTTTAAACGGAATTAAAGGGAAGAACGCCTTCATGGAGTACTTTCTAATCGTTATTTGAAATGAAATTTTACAATTTACTTTACTTTTACTTTTATTAATTACTTTCCACAGCATTCAGTACATGAAATCTGTCAATAATAAGTATAACAATGATAACAAAAATGGCATCACACAACTAAAAGTATATACCTACGTAAATTTCGATAAATTAATTACCTGAAAATATTAAACATATCAATGGCAGCATTGCCCTAATAGTTTTAAGTTGCATTTCAACATCTGAAAGAACGTGAATTACATTGCTATTTTCACTACACAAATGAATGGAATATTTCAGAAAAGAATTTTTCCCTGTTATTGCAATATTTCAATAATTTTTGCAAATTAAAAAATTTAGTTAACACGTTTTAATAGTAAATGATGCGATTTTCACTCATAAAATCCCTTTGTACATTATTCTCTATCATTTTGGCATCACTGCATAACTTCTCTAAGACATAAATAGCTTCCATTAATATATATTCCCATACATTACATTTATTTTTATATTTTTGTCATTAATAAATTAATGATTAAAATAAAAAAAATTGATACTGTTTAATTTATAAGCAATGTAAAGACTGGAAATCAAATGTCATTAATTTCTGAGACATAAATAGTTTTCTAAGACGCAAATAAAACAGATAACAATAATCATAAATATTAATGCTCCCAAAATATATCCGCTTTTCCTAACTGATTTTTGCTTTCTGATCCACCTGGGGTACAACAAACCTATTTTCATTAAATGAAGTTTTGCACATTTCTCTACGAAGTACGCAAAACTTGTTTCATACAATTTTATTTTTACTAATTATGAAGAACTTGTTTAGGAAACAAGTATTTATGTGTACTACTTTTAGAATCTATGTGACAGAGTGTGAGTACTCATCTTCAAATATACGTTAGTGTCAATAAGCTTAACTCTAAATTATTGAACATTTCTGGGACCTTGAAACTTGGAAAAGAATCGTCATATTTGCTACAGTGGGTATTTAAATTTAGATAAATCCTCATACCATAAGCATTTTGTATTTAATTTTAAAATTTCCATTTCGTATTACACAATCATTTTCAAAGCTCTTTGGATACATATCAATAAAATTTGTTTCTACTTTTTTATGATTTCATCGTAAACTTGTGAAGAATTCCCTAAAAATATTCAAATATCCATAATTTTTACTGTTAAATATTTAATAATTATACATTAACTGAAATGCATTTATAGTACAGAGGAAATGTAGAAAGATATTGCAGGTGATGTATTATTTATCATTGGAATATGACAATAATAATAGTACAATTTGACTGAAGGGGAGGGGAAACCAGATGTTTCAGCGGTTTAAAAGGGAAATGGACAATGGACATCTTTACAGTAAAATCTTGGATGAAAATTTTACTGTGACTCAGCTCTCAGCTTGGGAGACATTGGAAATTTATAGTGGAGGCGGGGTTCCCTTTCTTCGTTAAACAGCTGCATCGAAGTGTGAAACGCTACCCCTCAAGTATACTTGTAAATTGGAGGATGCCTCAGAACAGTAAACTGAACTCTTATTCTAATGCCTTGAACTTGCTGTTATTCTAATGCCATTTCTCTAGTCTATGGCGGGAACAAACAGAGGTTTTTCTTTAAAATTAAATTTCAAAGGTGATCTTATATATAATTCTTCATTATGAAGGTAAGTTATTGATTTGTAATATCTAAATTAATCATAAACTAAATTCTTATAATTTAAAACTTGCTAAAAATTCAATTCAGCTAAACTTTTAATCCATTTATCTAAAAAATTCAAAATTATCACCATTAACAATGCAAATGTCTACTAATATTAATAACGTATTGTTATATTCACATGAAAAATTTTATCACAAATATGAATATAAATATAATCTATGTTCTAATTCAGAAGTCAAACAACAAAAATCAGCGTTATACCTACAAAATTTTCACAGGACTAGTTTCGATGGTTTTACCGAACCATCATCTTCAGCTGCAAAACCGCAAATGAACAAGATAGGA